GCATTCATCTTCAGGATCTTCTAGCCTTATTCAACCTAAATAATCCATTCCGTTTTATTCCCTAAGGTCTAGTTCTGATTTGTCCCCTTCAATGTCTTCCTAATACATATTAATTAAGTTTAGAGTCCCCAGACTACACTTAACCCTACATAATCTTCCCCTTCTGCTTTTCCTAGACTTACCTCCCATGTTCTTTTACATTTCACTCTGCTCCTACGAACCCTGACTTTGTTCCTCAAGATTTTCTCCCTCCATGCTTTGCTTTTGCTGCTCCCTCAGCCTGGGGAGCCATCCTCACCCATTTCTGCCTATCATAGCCTTGTCCTGTCTTCCAAGCTGACCAAAATCTTTCCAGGTATCTCTCTCCTTTAAATTGCCATAGGCCTTGGTCTTTAATTCTCTTGGTTTTTCCAGTTTGTATTTAAGTCATGTACATATGATCTTGTCCTTTAAAACCTCCTTGATACTTGATAGGTACAATGGTGTCTTACTAATTTAATATGCTCACAGAACTTAAGGCTTCTCAATAGGTACACACTAACTCAGGCCTAGTCCACTTGAATATACTGCCAATTTCATCTAGATAATGAGATAAAAACAAATTTCCAGTCATTTCTGGATTCTCACAGATAGGAGGGAGACGGTATGGGGCAATGGTTGTAAGACTCCATGACTGAGGTCACACACTGAAGCATTAAGTGATGTCTAGAAAAGAGAAGGCATTCAAACATGTTTGTTTTATGAATAAACACAAAAATAGAGTGACCTGGCTTTAAATACTGAATCTATATTTTCTTAACTGTATAATCTAAGTAAGTTGCTTAACTTTTTTAAGACTCCATTCCTTTATCTTTAACATGGGATAGCAATAGTATGTACTTTGGGGAAGTTTTGTGACTATTAAATCAATCAATGCCTATAAAGAAGTTTGCATAACATTAAACAGATAGAGACTAGTTAAAATACTTACTATTGTTATCATTTTCTAAGTTGTTGGCCTATGTAAAGATTGTGTAAATTAATTGAACATCAATTTACTTGCAAAGATGCATTGCTCCTTAAAAATTCTGACAGGTGGTCTGAATCAATTATTTTTTTTAACGAAAAACCTATAATTTAATAAACTTCAGCAAATTAGGGAAGGACTTGACTCAAGTTGCACACCTTCTTTTTAAGAATGTGTGAATTCTGTGGGGGTGAGGTGCAAAAGCTGGTGTTTGAAAAATAAATTAAAAATAGGTCTTTAAGAAATAAAAAAGCTGCGTCTTTTGGCATTGCTAAAATATAGAAAACACATCTGCAGTATTTGGAACCAGTGGCCAGAAAACTATGGTACCTAAATCCAGGCTGGATCTGGTCTCCCTGAAAGCCACCCACACCTTCAAACACTATTTCCTAAATGCATGTGCTCAGCGTTTTGATAACCCAAATATTAGACATAATAAAAAATTATAGAGAAGCTAGTCAAATGTGAGATCTTAGACTGTGGGATTTAAGAAAGGGTCTTCAAGATAATCTAGTTCAAATTACAAATTCTGCAGCTGAAAATACTTAAGGCCCATTTGCAAACCATTTGCAAGGATTTTGTATAATTCTACAGAGAAAAAAAATTGATTGTACCTATAGGGTTTTCATTTCTACTTTTTAAATTCTTTATTTCCATGTGTGTCTTTCTCTTTTCAATGATACAGCTCTACTATTCCAGATACAAAAGCCAGAGGCAAGTGAGACGTTCTGAATCAGAGCAGATGGCTGAGGACAATTTTAAAATATTAATTTCATGGGGTATTAATAAGTATGATCTGAACAAATTTAAGTGTTTAGAAAACATTGTATTAGTTAAATTTAAGCTGGATTTGTCACTAAAATACTTATTAGTGTCTTTTATATGCTAATGTGCATTGTGAATCTTTTGGGAGAGCTGTGTAGATATAACATATAAAATTTTTTCAGCACTTTCTTACCTTATTTGGTCTTCTTTCCCCAAATCCTGCTTTAGTAATACTGTACTAGATCATAAGTAACAAAAGGCAATTCAAATAAATTGCAAAGTTCTAAACGGCATGAAATGCCATAAGAGAGAAAAATGAAGGTCTTTTACTTCTTGAGTAGATTCTTCTTTTTGACTTCCCAAAGGCTATTTCCTACACAGGTAAAATCAGGGCATGGTTCTTGGCCAAATGCAAAGCAGGCAGGTTATATGGAAATGTGTTTCTTCCTAAGCATAGAGCTATACAACAGACCGTAAAGCTGGAATGGCCAGGGAAGACTCCTTTCATGCCCAATATGTAAAAGTTAGAAATAAAGCTCCTTTCATTCCAGAGAGAATGGAGAGAATTAGAGTTGGCTGATCCCCAACCTCCCCCCACCCTCCCTCCTCTTCCCTACCTCTGGTGGGTCCTCAGGTATTCCTCAAAATCTGGGGGCTCTATGGGGTAAAGTTAAAAGCAATACATTTTTATGTGTATATAATATAACTCTCTCTTTTGGAGTATATAAGAGGTGGAAGTTGTTATTTACCATAGCAATTAACTTTTCTAGAAGGTGGTGCTATTAAATAAACAGCCTTCTTATTCTGCTGAATACTTTGATGGGACTAGTTGAATGAAGGCTTGGGGCCTGGAGAAAGGCATAATAATCTAGAGGAGAGTGTAGAGTCTCCAAGAAAATATGGGGCAAAGGAAGAAAAGAGATGAGAAAAGGGCAAGGAGAAGAAGGTGGAGAAGAGGATTCAAGCAGAGGAGTTGAGGCTGGGGTGAAAAGTGGTATAGATGAGCTCAGGGGAAGATATTCTAGGCCCTAAGATTTGTGATTACAAATGAGTCTAAAATTCAATTTTAAATTATCTGCATTGTAATGATGATAAAACCTCCCCTGTCTCCTCAGATCTTCAGTAAAATCTAAAAACCAATGTGGAAATTGAGTAAGAGGCAAGTTTCATGTCTGAGCTTATACAGAGTAGAATACAGACAAGCCACATGGGACAATCAATCCATAAGATGATGTAACCCAGAAGCAGTAAGAGGTCATACCATAAGAAGGTAAGAAATCTAGATATTAGCAGAAATCTTAGGGAAGATCTTGTGCTTGCATAGGGTGTACAATGAAGGGTTGGGGATCTTATTTAAATCTTAAGAAACAGGGTGATCCCAGCTCATATTTGAATAACAGAAGAAAGTTAGGATTTTTGTATGGAGAAACATTTCTACCCCAATGCCTTGTGACTTTGACTGCCAAAAATGCCAATAACCCCCAAATGGGTTGGCCTGTATTCTATGATCAGTTGCCTACATGTACTTGGATACTTCACTAGCACTTTCAATTTACTATGACCCTGATTGTTTTTCCCCAATGTTCTCCCTAAGTCCCCATGTCTTTGTTGCCTGTTTCTGTGAGTGTCTCTATCACCCCTGCTGCTTCTTGAGAAGAAACCTTTAAATCTTTTCTCCCATTCACACCACATAGCTTAATAGTCACCAAATTATCTTAATTTTTGCTGTTTGCATATATTCCCATTCTATTTGCTCACTTCCTCAGTTTAACTTGCTTTACCTTGCTAAAGAGTTCTAAGCACCTCCTAAATGCTCACTCTCTCCATTCCATCTAGCCTCAATGCTGTGCCAGTTATCTATCTAAAATGCACATCTGGTCAAGTTACTGTACTGCTAAATACCGTTTTCTAGCTTCCCATTGCTCATAGGATGATGTGCCCTGTAGCCTGTGCCCTAAAGGCCTTTCTACAGTGTCTTCCTACCCCACCACAAGCCTCATCTCCTGCCATTCTCCATCCTACATGCTATACTATAAGGCTACCCATACTATTTCCACCTGCAAATCTTTTCTTCTCATCTTGTTATCTTTCCCTAAGAAGACTTTGAGTCCAAGCAAAACATTTATGCTCTGTCCCCTTACCATAATGCAAACCATCAAAGTTAAAAGTTCTGATAGAAATTATATTTTATCTTCATACATTGTTTGTATTATTTAATACTTTACGTCAAAAGAATAAATAATATATACAATTCTACATGTTGTGTTACCCTCATGGGAAAGAGCTGCACAGATCTCTAGTGATCACTCAAATTGCACCTCACAGGTACCAGTACTCTACATACCTGGCTGGGTTTGACCAATGGGATGCCCACTCTCTGGAAGATGATCCTTGCTTATGGTATAGTGTAAAGGCATAGAATATGGCTTGAGAAAAAACGGGGTTTCAGATTTTGTTTCATCATTCATTGTCCAAGTGGGCTTAGGCAAAGCATATTACTTCTCTGAACCTACATTTTTATCTGTAAGACAATATCTACTTCCCAAGGTTGTTATGTAGATCCAATGTAATTAGGTATGTAAAGGACTCTGCAAGCAGTGGAGAAAGGGCTTTGTAATCTATAAAATGCTACACAAATGTGAAAAGGTGTGCTGTGGAAAGAGAACTGGACATGGAGTGAAAATACATGGTGCCATGTGTTGATCTGTGTCTTACAGAAATGTACATTGAAGTCCTAATCCTCCATACCTGTGTGACCTTATTTAGAAATCGGATGCTTGCAGATGTAATCAAGTTAAGAGGACAGCATTACAGTGGGCCCTAGTCCAATATAACTGGTGTCCTTATAAAAAGAGAAGACAGAGACACACGGGGAAAATGCCGAGTTGAAAATGGGGACAGAGTCAATTGATGCATCTATAAGCCAAGGAACAAGGAACAGCAAGGATTGCCAACTGTTAGAAGAAGCTAGGGGAGAGGCATGAAAAGAATCTCCCTCAAAGCACTTAGAAGGAGTCAAACCTGCTGACACTTCAATTTCAGAATTCCAGTTTCTGGAACTGAGAGACAATAAGTACCTCTTGTTTGAAGCCATGCAGTTTGTGATACTTTGCTATGGCAGCGCTAGGAATCGAATAAATGGGTATGAATTTTAGCTCTGCACCTACTAGCTCTGTGAATTTAGGTTAAATTATTTAAACATTTTCCCTGATATTTTAAGGACACTTACCTTTCTGTGATTGTTTCTCTGAGGCCACTGGCCACACCTTTGACAACAGTGCTAGCTTTGGGGGTCAGCACCACCTGAGATATAAAGAACGAGCCCTTCTTTCTTCTCTCAGTGATGGACGCCTGAAGAAACTGAATCAGTTTTTCCGGGTCTGTGGTGTTGGCCCAGGGTGCTGGCATCATCTGCCCAGGCCAGAGGAAGGGCATTTCTAGAGCCACTGGACTGTGGTAGAAGACCAGCACTTGATAGTCCTTCTCCCACAGGTACTTTAGACTAACTTCCTGGGCAAAAATCGCTGGGCACATTTTGTTTCCATAGATGTCTTTCAGCATTTGAACCAGTTTTTCATGGTGGTATTTCTGCATCCCATAAAAATGGTTGAAGTCCAAGAATACTACCTCCTTATGGTGATCTGTGAGGAACGCATTGATCTCCTCAAGGCCTTCATTGACTTTGGCACTGAACAAACCATGAGCAAAGTAGAGTTCGTTGTCGGGGTCTCTGGGCTTGGTGGAAATTCGAAGATCAAAATACCGGATCCCAGCTCCCAGCTGACCAGTAAAGTTCATCGTTTGAGTGGCCAGCCATTTCCGCATCAGCTTTTTGGCCACAGTTCCAAACACAGAGACAAAATTCTGGACAGTTTCTGGCTGTTCAGGCCCAACAGGAGAGGCTTCGTCAATGTAGAAGCTGAAGGAATCATGAGATCCTACAAGAATAACAAGGCATAATATGGTTATATTTCAGTCCTTTGTCCTTGCCACCTTCTTTCCCTCTTCCAATGTCTACATCTCTCCCTCGAATGAGCCAAAGGAAATACTAAGCACTATTTACCTAGTTCATTCTCAGGCCTTAGGAGGGTCCTTTTTATAGCCTAGTATAGCACACAGAGCACTTCAATAGACCAAATTGATTGTAAAACCATAAAAATTCCTCCTGATCAATATTTTAAAATTCAAATGATCATCTTCTACTTCTGCAAATAAAGAATTTCATGTATTCATTAGGATTGGCTTTCAATATAGGTAGTAAAAGTGACCATTCAAAAAATAAGATTTATGGGGACCCACCAGGTTCCCAGTACTTTGTCTACAATGTTGCCTTTTTTCTTCATTTTGGGGTGGATTGGAAGCCTACAAATTTCATTTCAGTGAATAAAGAAGCTCCTTTCACAGGCAGATGGTCAGTATATGAATTGTTACCTCAGAAACTTTGGTAACAAGAGGTCACAAGATAAAGGCTGAAATAAGGCAAGAGGACAGCCGAATGCTGATATATTTAATGTCATTCCTGATCCTTCATTTGAGCAACTGTCCACTTAGATGAGGCTAAGTACTTTTTACATATTAAATAATTTTTCTTGCAAGTTAAGGCAACTGAGAGCATTTAAAAATTAACTAATAGGCTATTTTCTTCACAGCTATTCCCTCTCAATGGTAAAAGCTCTTTTTGGAGTTGGCTTCTACATTTAAAAGAATTTCTTCCTAGAAAGAACAAGGACCACCTATTTGATAATTTATTTTTGGCAGTTACAAATATCAAAACTCCAGAAATATGATAAAAATGATAAATATGTGTATGATTTACCTGTAAGTACAGAGTGCCATTTAAAATACTATTGAGTCCAATAAAGAAAAATTATTTCAAGTTCTGATTTTAGTTTTTAAAGACTCCTTTAATTCTTGGGCATGAGCTATTAAATAGGTAAAATTAATGTATCCTGGATTTTTCACACATTAGAAAGGGCAGATATCATCATACCCTATCTATTCCTCATACTTCCTCAGACACTGTTGCCCCACACCTGATCTTCATCCTGTGAGGTACACCTTTTTCTAGTTCTTTCATTCTTCCAACTCAAACACACTCAAACACACACACACACACACACACACACACACACACACACACACACACACACCTCTAGGTTTGTCATCTATCAACTCAGGACTTTTGTCTGATAAGTTATTTGAAGTAATATTTTTCAGTGGTGCAATATTTATATTTGTACATCATATCTATGTCAATCTATATCTATATATCTATATATACATCTATATATCATGTCTAGCATTAAATGGCCCATAGAAATCATAAGAGTGTGGATTTCAGGCACCATGGTAGGTTGTTACAGAAAATATTTTGAAAATACTTTGATAACTTACAAATCATAACCACTAAGATTTGGAACAGATAATGCCTCAGAATTATAAGCTTTTCTTTTCAAAAATGAAAGGCAAACCAAGAATACACAAATGCCACGTTTAATTTAATCTGGAACTATCTGATCTATTTATCTTTAGTAGATGGTATGGGAAGAAAATATTAGCACTTTCTAAATAGTCAGAACTGGCAGTTTGGATCTGGCATTGGCACATTTTAATAGGGATTTTAATTGCTGCATATTGATTCATTAGTTGCTGCTGTTCAGTCAATTGCTAATATAAATGAAGAAACTAAACAATCTGTAGTACTATGACTGAATATACAGAGAGAATATATTTAGGCAAATTCCAAGGTGAATTTAAGAAGAGTTACAATTAAATGATCTGGGATTAAAATAAGTATAAATAAATGAATAAACACTCAAAATAAGAGTTAACTTATAAAATTAAAAAAATATTTTAAGTTAATTTTCAAGCATGTGAAAAAAAAGGTGGATGAAAGTAATTGGCTACTTCTGTAATCTAGTAGCAGACATAATAGAAAACAAGCAGAAAGGGAATTAAATGTGAGATTTCTTTTTCCAGAAATGAGTCGGTCTTTGTTTTCCACGTGACTTCAGTTTCATCAGTCTATCATGTGGTTATGTGGCAAATTAAAAAAAAAGCCTAGGAAATTCACCAATTTTAAAAAGCCCATAAAAACACATTATAGTTTATAGAATAAATTATTTGTTGACATTTAATGAAAATATGTTCAGGTCAAAATAATGTTAAAATAAAAATTACAGCTAAGGGTCAGAAGGAGAAGGCATTGGCACCCCCACCGATATTTGTTCTGAGCTAGATGACTCAGGCTCAGGCAGAGCAGAATGATGCACCAAATACAAATAGTATTTGGAGAGGAGAATCTAATCATCAATCGATACAAAACACTATTTATGCATTTTGGGAGAAAATACATAAGGTAATGTTAGCCAACAAAGAAATATTTTTGTGACATTTAATTTCATTTGGAATAGTACTTCCTCCCCAATTTCAACATTTTTACTAAAGCATGAACTTTTCTATTTGCTTGAACTTCAAATATATATATATATAGCAATACTTTATGACCTTTCAATAACTTAGACGCAATGTCTGGCCCAGCCCCATGTGTTTAAACCCAGAGAGCCCTGCCCACCAGAAAGACAGTGGGAAGCATTTCTTTTTTTTTTTTTTAAAGATTTTTATTGGGTAATTGGGGGGATGGGAACAGTGCTGGGGAATTGGGGGAAGGGGAACAGACAAGTTGCTGTTGTTTTGTT